TGATTCAGTTCGGTTTGACAATGACACTTTTCAACTTGTTTTTAATTTTGTTTAAGTATTTTTTTCCTATTATCCAATGGATTTAAATACCAATTTGGAAAACTAGATGATCTTTAAGAAAATTTCAGAAAGTTTTCCCGCTGCGAAAAGATACCCAATTTTAGTATATTACAAAAATGCTATCTCCAACCGAAACACCGAAAAAAAAATCAACAAGCAAACAGAAAAAGGAGCAGGCAAAGGCAAAGACAAACAAAAATAGACAGAAAGCAAAATATGTGGGGGGCGGATGGGCGATTTACCTGTCGCGGTGGCAGGACAACTGCCATCGGAGAAGAGGACATGCAGGACAGCAAGGACATCCAGCCGGGATTCCATTGCCACTACCACAGCATCCAGCATCCGTACGTACATAAGGCCCACTCTATGTACAAGTCCTTACCCCCCTGCTCCCCCCGAAAAAAAAGGCCCAGAAAAAATGTACTTCGCAAGGGGAGCAGCAGACAGGTGAGCACAACAACACCTGAAGGATTCCGGCGCAAGAGGGAGACAGGAAGGAGAGGCAGGAACAGGACGATGTGGAAGGACACCAGATGACAGGACAAGGAAAAAAGAGCGACTTACCGGCGGGCCAAAATGCACAGACAAAAAGGAACCATTAGCATAGCTACTAATTTTATTTATTTCTTATTGTTATTATATTTATTTTATATTGTATTTATTTTATATTATATTATATTTATTTTATATTGTATTTATTTTATATTATATTTATTTTATATTATATTATATTTATTATTTATTATTAATTTTATTTGATTGATTAAAAGTTTAAAGAGAAGTAAGGCTTGATAAGCCGACTATTAATCTTCGAAATATTATAGTAATTTCATTTTATATTTCGTATTTTTTTACAAAAAACAGCACAATAGATTCTGGGAAATCCCTTTCCAAAAAAGACATAACTTTAAAAGTTTTAAGAGAAGTTTAAAGTTTATTAAGTCGACTAATAATCTTCGGAGTAGTAATTTCTATTTATATTTCATATTTTCCACAAAGACATTACTTTAAAAGTTTTAATAGAACTAAAGTTTTTTAAGCCGACTATTAATCTTTGGAATAGTAATTTCCTTTTAAAACTTTATATAGTATTTTCCCCAAAGAGGCAGCACAATAGATGCTGGGGAATCCCTTTCGAAATTCTCAACTTAATTTCGCAGTGTGTCGAATTCCTGGCCTCCATGGCCATGGCCAAAAAAGCGGGCCCAATGAAGCAGGGGCGTGGATTGCGGGAGCGGACGGCAGAGGGATCTGGGAAACGGGAATGGGATCGAGAAGGGGTGGTCCTTAGCCACCCCAGACACAGGGCGCGTTTATATGGTACAGCCAGCATTTACAGCCCTGTGTGTGCAGAGGGTTGCTATATAAACATCTATATATATATATATATATATATATACATATATATGTTTGCATGATAATATATATACAAGGGAGGGTTCCGCTCCGTTCCGCAAAAAGCGAGGCAAAGTAAAGCGCTATAAGAGCAAATATGGCTGCCAACACCCGAATTCGACACGTAAAGTGACGCGTTAGCTGCGTTGCTATGACAACCCAAAAGGCCTCCTGACTTTTCCATTTCCCGCTGCCCGGAAAAGCCTCCCCATCTCCCATCTCCTTTTGGCCCACCGAAAAAAGAAAAAAAACTAAGTTGAAAATCGGACAAAAAAGACATAAGAGCAAAGGAAGCTTGGCTGTTTTTCATGTTTTTTTCTTTTTCATTTTGTGTCTTTTTTTTTTGAGGTTTTCCCTTTGAACTGCACGGCACGTAAATAAAGTTGAAGCGGCGGTCTATATTGGTGGGTCATCGGATTTCGTTTAATGAGATTTTCCATACACGTCGTCGCCAGTCAGGTGAAAAAGAAGAGGAAGAAGATGGAGGGGAGGGGAAGGAAGAGTGTCCCGGATTGGAAAAGCTCGCCATGGTGATGCGGGTGAATTTCCCGGGAGAAAACCACCCGCTCCTTGTCAAAATCTCAGGGGAAATTCACTGGGAGTGCGAACAATTGAAAGTACATACCACAATGCTTCGGTCAGCTGAATAAAGGGATTTGCCATCTTAATTAGATGGATTTTTCTGCATTAAAAACATGACTTCTTTTATGTAAATAACAAAGGGGGGAGTTTGAAAAGGAACCAGCTTGATGTATTAAATATAAACGTAATCAATAAAGTTCAGAAAAATATATCGAAATATTATAGCTCGTAATGGAATATATGTATTTTTTTTTTTGTAGCTTATGAATTTCATATAAACCCTTTAAGAACCTATAATATATCGAAATATTATAACTCGTAATGGAATATATGTATTTTTTTTTTTAGCTTATGAATTTCACATAAATCCTATAAGGACATGGCTAACAAATTATCACAATCGATGGAGATACAAGTCAAAATGGCACCCTTCATTAGGGGTTATGTAAATTCAACATTTTCCGAACTACCTTCACTTTTGACACGGTTTTTTCCACCCAACTCTTCTGAGCGGGAATTAACCCAAATTGCTGATATGTTCGCGGCACATGGAATACGGAATACGGAATACGGAATACGAAATACGAAATACAAACTACAAAAACACAAAGAACAAAAGGCTGCTCAGGGTGCAGCAATCCATTCAAATCAAGCGAATCAGCGAAATCCGTACCCAGTTCGGTGCACTCCGAGGATTTTTGTTTCCTTTATTTTTGTTTCGGTTACCCATCTACTGTTTTGTGTATTTTTTTTTATCAGTGCTCATCTGACTGTCTGCATGTCCGTCTGACTGTCTGTGAATTTCCAACTGCAATCGCGCCCCTGAAAAACAATTGTTTCGATTGCGCAAAACGTAAATTTCGTTAGCGATCCGTAGGATAATAGCTCAAGGCTGTATGGCTCTATTGTTGCCCCGAGATCTCCGCTGCCTTGAACAAACAGTTTGTCGGCTAAGCAAACAAAGTAATTGGGTTGCCACATATTGCGCAGGGATCCTCGATCTCTCCCACCCTCGCCACGAATAACATATAATTCTTTTTTATTTTGCCGGAGATCTCAAGACGCTGATTCGGCAATCAGTCCAAGGTGCATCCTCCTCTTTGGAGGCATCGGCGGAAACAGACAATTGTCCTGGGTTGAACGCAAAAGTAAAAAGAATCCCGAACCCGAAGCAATCCTTAGTATCCTCTTCTCTGTGCTAAGTACAGATCGATGAACCTAAGCCGAGAAGCCAAGTGTCTGCGATCGTTGCTTTTAGATAGTTGGATTTACCGATTCCCCGATACGAAGGAGTTGCTCCCCTTCTTCCAAGGGATTACATTCAAATCCCGGGGATCTGTCAAATTGTGCGTGGGCTAATGGCTCCTACGATTTCGAGATTTCGGGACCAAAAAACAAGGTGTTGAGGCAGCTGTCGCTCATTCAGAAAGTCGCCGAACTAAAGGATTCCGCTTACATTTTTTTTTGATGGGGAAGGAGGTATGAAAGCCGTCCGAGAACTTTGACAAAAGCCCGGGGTCGAACGCTTTGAAGTGGCCGACAATGTTGGCACTTCACCTTACACGTAAGAAGAATTATTAGTTAAGGTTTATAGTACATAAAAAGCTTAAATAATTTTTTAAATAAATAGTGAAGATTTTGTAGAACAATAAAATACAATAAATTAAACTTACAAAAAACCCTTTAAAATAAATTGATAATTCTGCATTCACACCGAAATGAAAACATTTTTGATTCATACAAAGCACCTCTTGTTTTTTGGACAAGCGCTTGACATTTTAAGTATTTCCAGCAGCCAAGCTGTGATAAACCCAGCCCATTTGCATACTTATAGTCTAGGGCTCTAGAGAATTAGCTCACTTCGAACATTTCCCCTTGGCCGTGTGTGTGCGAGTGGATCGCCGGGCTCAAATTGCCGGTAAAAGGGGGACGCCTGTCATAACTGCACAATGGGACGAGGGACGCGAATCGCAGGACGCACAGAAATCGCAGGACTTCCTTCCTTTGTTCGCTTTGCTTGGCAGCAAATTCCCCATATAGATTTCATTCCGCTCAACGGCGGTAACCGATACGGATGCTTGTTCTTTTAATTGCTCGGGCGAAAACGATAGGCAATCATCACCGACCCGACGACTGGATGCGAAGCTGAATCGAAATCGGATGAGGAATCAGAAATCAGGATGGCAGGATTGCAGGGGGCGGGAGCGGAGGGAGGAGGGCGGAGGCGGGGAGGGCCGGGCAGCGGCGTCCATTTGGCGTCGACTGTTGGCGGTCGGTCGGCGGTATGTTGATTGTCGGCTTTTGCGGCCGGCACAAAACTATATCGAATTACATATCCATATAGTCCATTCGACTGACTGACTGATGGACTCTGCAGCGGGCAGATTGTCAATTTTATCCCTTAATCCTGAAACCGAGACGGGGAAATATGCTTCACTAGTTGCACATCACTTGGCAACAAATTAAAAAAAAAATAAAGTTGTAAAAAAACTGAGCTCTAATCTATGTTTTTGAATTATTATAATAAAGACAAAATCATTTTAAACGATTAATCGAATTGAATTTTACAAACTGAGCTTAAACTGCAAAGAGTGAATTACAATTTTTTACACAAATAACATAAAAACAAATATCGCGTTTTTATTTGTTTTTTTAGGAAGTTGGCTCGCAATTTCAAATTTATCCCATATAACGACCCTGTCTTTGCCAAAATCCGCTAGAAGCGCCATCTGGCGGATTCCTGCAGAACCGTTAACTTAGCAAAGTTGCAAAACAAATTTAGCTTATGCCCAAACTACTATGATAAAAGCAGTTGGCAACGCAACCCCAATCGAATATCGATTTCTTATCGGTACTCACAAGGACGATAATGTCCTTCTGTATTTTTTCGGTATTTCAATAAAGCTTAGCGGTAAGCTTGTGACATTTTTTAGATCATTACAATTTGTATTAAACTGGCAACATTGAAACGAACGGTCTGAGAACATTGAAACATTGAATATCAAAAAATAGCAGAAAACGTGAAAATCGAGATAGGCAAATATTCACCACCCCGCCGCGTCCGCAAAAAATCGCAATTTCTCAAATGAAAAACGAAAACTTAAATAAAACAAAATTATTCCTTTAAGGAAGAACCGAACCAAAGAAATACAAATCCAGGACTTTCAAGAGTGACAAAATAGAACAAAGACTAAAAGTCGGTTTACAGATTACATAGGAGCATATACGAATATATATACATATAGCTTGTATATAGCTTGATTTCGGAACTCGATTTGTCTTTATCCTTGGCGGCTTCGTCCTTTGTTGTTACTGTATTATTATGTAAGCTTTTTTCGAGTGTTTTGAGTGTTGTTGTCGAGTGTTGTTGCTGTTGTCGCAATCAACTCTTTATTGTCAAAGGCAATTGAACGACCGTAGCTGCCGCACCCCACGCCCCCTTTTCGTCATTTTCCACCCACCCCCACTTTCCACCCCCAGCCCCCCTTCCCCCAAAACACACACAAATGGAAAAACAAGCGCACACGCAGGACACGAAGGACCTTTGTCTAAAAAGCCAAGTTGTTGCTGTTGCACTTATTTGATTTGATGACTAAGTGTTGTGTTCCTAGTTTTTTTTTTTTTTTTTTGAATTTCCTTTTTGTAAAGGACAACAAGACGATATCGATCGCCAGTATGCCAATTATCGATAAGTCCCATGACGTGTTTGCAGCAAAATTCAGTTCAAGGCAACGCCTCGAGTCCTGTCTCCGTTTTGTGCTCATCTTTCGCCGCCCATCCGTAGCTTGTCCTCCCCCTTTTTCTATATTAACAACATCTATTCAGACGCCCAACTATAATCGCATTTGCTTAACCGATAACTTGGTCATGTTTCGTCGATTGTTTCGATAATGTCAATTACTTTTGAATTAAGTAGCAGCTTTCAATTTAACGGTCCTTAAATATTGTATATTATTTTCATATGTGTAAACAAATATCTTTGCAAAACATTAGTTTTCTTATCCCTTATCTTTGATATTTCTTTAAGAATTTCCTACAGGATGTTGTCGCTGTCGTCGCCGCCGTGGATGCTGCTCCTTGTCCTCTTTTTCTTCGCAAATGGTTCGGCAATGGTGGTTTCCCTGGCGGAAAACGTGACACTGAATGTGACGTTACCTTCCTCCTCGCCAATTTCCGTGAGTTTCAGTACGGTGGCGCCCGTTTCCATCGAACTGGAGAATCAAACAGCCAACAGCAGCAGCAATATAAATACAAACAACGAATCCAGCGACGAGCAAACGAGCAACACAAGCAGCAACATCAGTTTGCCCAGCAGCAACACTAACAACAAGAGCAGCAACACTAGCAACTTGAATAGCAATATCAGTTTGAATTCCACTCTGAGTACAACGACAGCTGGCATTTCCGGGCAGCAGGATCTGCAGGAGTCCCTGATCCTGGCCACGCCCACTGCTCTCAATGGCAGCAGTACGCCACCCGAGCACCAGACAATTGGCCAGGCTCCACCCACAAAAGGGGAACAGGAGGCCATCCTGCGAGCTTTAGATTGGCTGAAGGAGAAGCGAGCCTCCGACTATGGCTGGGGCAATGACACCCATGTGGTTATCCTGGCCAAGGAGCTGTCAGGTGGTCGGGATCCCAACGACAGTGTGGATGGTCATGTTCAGGTCATCCAGGAACTGGAGGACACGCTGTCCGTCAAGGAGATGGAGATTGAGATACTGGCGATGCTGGATCGCCATCATACGCTACCCAAGCCTCTGGATCTGGATAAGCTGGCTAGATATGTCCTGGCCCTGGGTTCGCTTTGCAAGGATCCAAAGCACTTTCATGGCCACGATCTGGTGGCCACGTTGCAGCACCACGAGCCGGCCCAGGATATTGAATTCGCCCTCACGACTCTCTCGGCATGCAGTTCTGCGGCTCACGTGAGGAAACGCCAGATACGGCGGCTCCTGGACATTGCCAGTGGGGTAACGGACCAGAGTGTGGACGCCATTGCCATGGTGATCCTGGCCCTGAGATGCATCGTCACCGATCATCGCCACCGGCACTTGCAGCACTTTGTCCGACGCCCGGCGAGGGGATTGGCCAGCCTGCAGGATCAGCGGGGCAGCTTCGGATCGCTGAGGAGCACCGCGCTGGCCATGCAAGCCCTGCAGGATCTGGAGTACGATCCCGCCGGCCATTGGAATCGCACGGCCGCCTCGCGCTACATCCTCAGTCGCCAGCGGGCGGACGGTGGCTGGAGTGAGGAGCCACTGCAGGATGGCCAGGAACCCGATATCGGAGTTGGACTCACGGCGGACATTATCCTGGCCCTGGGCTGGAAAGGATTGGGAGCGGTGCGAGCACTGCAGTGCGACCATGTGATACGCGAGAGCAGCGATCCCACGGGTGAGTTATCTTCTATTCGAGATCAAACTAAAACCTTTAAGATTTAATATCGAGATTAATTTAATCCTATTGGATGTTTCGCTTACAGAGAATGGCGAACCCAAGTTAGCGGTGCCCTTCGGGTTGAGTTCCTCCGCCGAAGAGTCGGACGCCAAGAACATCTCCTATACGTACACCCTCTGGGTGGGCTCCAATGTGACCGAGGCCTTCTCCCTGTCACTGGTCTCGCCCAAGAACACTAGCTTCTTCAAGGCCATGACCCAGGCGGCCGAAATGGATCCAAGGTATGGAAGTTGCCCTTCATTACGATGCCTTATAGTATCCCTAACCAATCCCTATTCCATTATTCCAGATTTATATTCGAGGCCAGGGAATGGCCCAATGGCCACTATGTGCACACCCTGTACGGCAAGAAGGAAGAGCCCCGAGGGTGAGTCTTGGCAGAAACTCCTGAATATTCGCCATATAATATTACATTGCACTTAATCAATTGTTTAGGTATCACTACTGGTTACTCTATCGATTGCCGGAGCTGCCCGATCCCAATAATACGCCCGGGAATCAGCTTATTGCGCCTGTTGGTAAGTTTAATCTTGACTTGGGACTGCAGTACAACTTCTCCAACTCAATACTCTTAACTAATTTTTTGATTAGAATCAAGAACTTATGGTTCGTTTGGTTGTTAATCAAAAATTCGTTAGTAATTAGAGTCAGAGGAGTTCAACCATATCGAAGTGTCCAAGAAACGAGTGCTAATTTCAATGGGAACTCTTGCAGGTGTGGACGAGCTAATGGTCGAGGATGGCGAGCACTATCTTTACTGGTACAAGAAGCTCTAAGCACGCGGCCTTAGACGGAGCTGCAGTTTAACCCACTAAGCAAAGTCGATAAACACCCGGTGCTATTGGACTATATCTATCTATATATATATATGGCCATAGTCACGTCTCACACACACTCAACACACACGCAACAAGCAAAAGGGCAGGACCACTCGCACAGGAATAGCTGTACGATTGCTACAGGTATTCCTGAGTGGGTGAATTGCTCTCTCTATGGTATATATACTGCATATATAACAGCATAATAATGGCGTAATCAAAAAAGAAAAGAAAAACCCAAAAAAAAAAAAAAAAAAGATAAGTCACATACAAAAACAACAAGCAGAAAATCACGCGAGATTGAAAGATCGGTGATAAGGAGGTAAATGTGAAAGCCCAGATTTCTAACGGATAACTAGGATATAACACCTAAATAGTTAAATGCTCTAGACCTCACAACTGATCTCGATTCGGAGCACCTCAGGCTAATACTTACGCATTACGATAACGATAACTAAACGAAAAAAAGAAACCGCAGACAAAGGGAAAGGGAAGTGAGGGTGGTGAAATGAAATCGAAATCGTAACGACTTAAATGCACTAACAGCAGGCATCGAACGGTTAGCCGTTGACTAACGGTAGCAATCCGTCCGTTTTAGGCCCTCTGAAATGCTTCGCAGCAATCGAAGCTAATCGATTGTCATTATCGATTGGCGGAGGCGTAATCGGGCGAATAGTTTGTCCGATAAGCGATTACTATTTCGTTGCTCGTTTAAGACACCCAAAACAAAACTAAAACGTAAAAAAAAAACAAAGGAAACCGAAGAAACAAATGCTTTATATGTTATTCAAGTAAGAGACTAGGGAGGAGAAGATCTAAGGATCTGAAGGTAGATAAAACGGAAAAGACGGAAGAAGGCCATCGAGCTAGTCCAAGCGAAGCATGTTATACCAAACACCGTACGTAACAATAAGTGATTGAAAATCATCCTTAGACATACACACATACTGCATAAATCGATATATACATCTTGCATATACATTTAAAGAAAAAACCAAAAAAAGAAAAGAAAAAAAACTAGTTTTATATGAAGTTAAGCGAACAGAAGGCCGTGGCATAATTATATAACGAGAGTATACAGGATAGCGAACGGAGGAGAGAATGATACTACCCCAAACATATACAAACGCTCTATATGCCTATCAACAACTATTCACTCCCCATTATTACGTACATATATCCATATTACACATATACACCATGCTATCTATCCCCCGAAAAGCCTACTCATTATATAGAACACCACTCCCCGCCCCCCTTAAAAAAAAATCGTATTACTCATCGCTCCTCAACCACATTTCTTCACTTATCACTCGGAACTTTCAAGCCGTTCGTTCACCTTAAAGCCTAGCCTAACCGAAAACTACAACTACTAAAACTATACTTGAGAACTTTAAGTGCAGCAGCAGATCCAAAACTAAACTAAACATTACTAACCTAGCGATCTAACTAACTCGTTTATATTATAAGCATGAAATTGAGCTTTTTAATTGTGCAGAAACCCAAATTAGAACACACTGACACCCACACCTAGACACAAATGAATAAGGATTTGAAGACAAAGCGTAGGATTTGAGGAACGTGTTGTGTATGTTTTAAAACCTAGAACGTCCTCTTCTATGAATACCCCAAGAACTATTTTCAAGTCCCCAACTTTCGAGCGACAGCAACAGCCGCAAAAATATGCATTGTAGTTCGATTCCACTCGAGTGTTGCGATATTGAAACTTGAAAGTTAAAATTTTCAAGTTTGCAAGCAGAATTTCGAACTATTCGAAGACTGCTGTTGCCGACTTCTTATATTCTGTTTGGTGAGTGGAGAAAGTAACAAGAAGAACAAGCGTGAATAAACATCAAAATAATTGAAAACTACTGAAGACGGGTTATTTGTGTTTAAATTATTGCACAATTGTTATATCTACAACAGGTAAGGCGTTTCGCAATTCAACATTTAAGCTTTATTTCAGCTTTTCGATGTGGATGAGGATCGAGGATCAGCTCATTTTGTTAAAAGTTTTCAGGCAGATTAACATTTTGGTATTTTTATTATCATTATTACGTTCTTTCTTTCTTTTCTTAGTTTTTTGTTTCACTTTAGTTTGCCAGATTTTGCGCTGTATATTGTATGAATATAATATATAATATATAGATTCGATATTCGTTTGTCTTTGCTACGATTTGAAGAAGGCCGCATAGAGCACGAAGGCAACAGATTTACAACATCAAACACTTTACAAATACGTTTCGATTACACCCATGCACACACATTACACACACGCCTAGCTAACTAGGTTGGATTGGATTGGATTGGAGGATTAGATTTGGATTTGGATTTGGATTGGCAACAATTCGAGTTCAATCAACTTCATCATATTCATCTGGAATCTGTGGTTGCGTTTTGTATATAGGAATATTAAAAGCGATAGAATCATGATTCATGCATAGTGGAGCGTGGCGTTAAGTAATCCCCAAGGAAAGTTCCTCAAATCTAATCTCAAGTTGAGTGCGACCATTAAAAACAGCAATGGTGACGACTCTTGGGTTGGAAAGTGTCTCTGGTAAGCTGATCCAAGTTTACTTTGAAGCTGAGTTGAGTTTGGGTGGAGTTCAGTGTAAGTTCCTGCTTAAAGTAGGAAACTTCATTTGAATTCCATTTAGCAAATTCCTATTAAATAGCTTGAATTGACTTTATAAGCCTCAAGTCTTAGTTCCACTTCCGAACTTACATTGCACATTTCAATTAAATTTCAAACCAATCTAGCTGAAGTGGAACCAAAAACTTGTGTGCGAAACTGTTCCAGGGATTACTCTGGCCTCGCCCCTTACAGTATATAGCTAATTATGCTTAGGTCTACGTAGTGAGGCGGCTTTGCTTTGTTCTCGGTAGTTGAGTAGCAGCGCTCATCCCTGGAGATGCCGCTCCCTCCTCCTCCTCCACTTTGTTCGCTGCTGCTGCTGTCTCGCTTCGTTTCGTGTCCAGCGCTCCTCCTCACATGGCGAAGCTGAGCTGCAGAGCATTGCGCAGTTCGTTGAGCACCATCGATCCGATGACCATCTTCTCGCAGTTAACCAGCAAGGTGAGCGCCTCCTCCGTCTGCCACTGGAGGGTGAGCAGCACGAGGCTCTTCGAGCTGAGTGTCTGCCCGGCGAAGCAGTGCAGCTGGCCGTTGGAAGAGCTGTGCGTGTGCGCCACGTTGATGGACTCGAAGACCTTCTGCCGCAAAGCGGCCACGTCGATCAGATCCCGCCGCAGGCCGCGCAGCTCGCACTGGTGCTCGTTCATCCCGCGCAACTTGGCGCGCTCCTCGCGATGACAACTCTCGCCGATCTGGACGGATCTCACCAGCTCGCCAACCGGCGGCTTCAGCTGCAGCCGCGAACTGCCCGCACTGGAGAGCAGCTCCAGGTCCACAGCATGCGTGGAATCATTGAAGTCCACGCCGAGCACTCCGCTGGCCGTCTGTTGCGGCTGCAGACTGGTCACCGGGGCGAACTCGTTCAGCTGCATGCCCGCCGGCAGAGTGGCCGGTGCCAGGTGAATCGATGTTATCTCCTTGTCGCCACGATTCTGGAACTGCAACTCGATGGAGCACATGGTCGAGGAGTAGAGGTGCGGCGATCGGGTGAAGCGGTAGGCCAACTGCAGTCCGTGGCCGCTGACCTTGTTGAGCAGCTCCTTGTGCTTGAACTCGATGTGCGAGGGACCCACCAGCTCCACCCGGTTGCGGGCATGCTGCGGCTGCAGCGGCGCCGCCTGGCCAGCTATCAGTGGAGTACCTGTTGTTCATCATATATTATATATTCCATTGATCTTGATCGTAGTGTAGATCTCTTACCTGGCGTCAGGAAGCCACCCAAAGAGGGCGTCATCACAGGACCAATGGGCGGAATGTCATCCAGATCGAGCAGCAGATCCAGATTGCTTTTGGAAGGAGGCGCCTGTTCCTGCGCCTGCTTCTCCTGCTTCTCTAACTTTCCTGTTTCCGGCTGTTTCTTGGCCGGAATCGTTTCGTTTTCGCTGCCGGAATCGCTGTCCTCGCTGCTGGTGCCACTGTAGGCCGACGAATCCTCGCTGTCCGAGGTGCCCGAGGAACCAGCTGCATTGTTATTGTTATTCGCGGTGGCTTCTTCCTCCAGCAAAGGAGCGTTTGCCACTTTATTGACTGACGTATTAACGAGCTCATCCTGATCCTTCTGGGCGGACACCTTTGCTGGCTGCTCCTTCTGCTCCTCATCATCGCTGCTCCCGCTGCCACCGCTGTCCGATTCGCTGTCGCTCGTTCCACTGCCACTGCTGCTGCTGCTGGACTCCGAGTAAGCGGATGACTTGTCATCCGACTCGGAGAGGAAGCCCTTCTTGCCACCAGCTCCCTTTTCCTTGCCACCGCCATCCGCACCGGAAGTTGCCTTGGACCGACCCGAGGGCGAGTCCTCGCCGGGCAGCTTCTCCTGCATGAATCCCGCAATGTTGCGTACCGAGGAATCCGGCGCAACGGCCGGAAATGCAGGCAGTTCCTTGTAGCCCGCCGCCGGCATGTTCAGATAGTGGGATAGCGATCCCAGCTGGAAGTTGTTGCCGTCGCGGTACTTGCTCTCCGGCACTGGAGCCGGTTTGCTGGCGAGGAACACCTGCCGGGCGTGCTGACTCAGCACCGAACTGCTGCCACTGGCCGGGAATATGATCTGGCGCAGAAAGCGAGCGCGATCGCGGACATCGTAGTTCGGGTCGTAGCGGGCCAGCGTGAAAACATACTGACACAGCAGCGAAGTCTGCTCTGGATTGGTCAGATAGAGCTTGACGCCCAGATTCAGAACCTGCAGCTTGACCACATCCTGCTCGTCCACAAAGGACTTGGCCATCTTGCGCAGCACATCGGGCGCGATCAGTGGCACCTTCTCGTTGTACTCGCCGATCAGCCAGATTATGGCCGCTCTGGCAGCCGGCACATTGATGTAGTCAATCAGCTTGGCCATCTGGGTGATGATCTCGAAGTGTTCGGCGGCTTTTGTTTGCAGGAGACGCTTTATAACGACCACACTCTCGGCCACCACGTGTTCTACAATACACAAATGACAATACAGATGCAAATGTTGAAAAGTTCTCAAGGGTAAACCCACCATCATGATTGGAAAGCAAATGAACTAGGCCACTCAGGCAGGTTTCGGTGACCTCCTTAATGCTGGATGCACACCTGCCAATGGCCTGAATGGTTGCCGCCACAAAGGAGCGATCGCTGCTGGAAATGTAGGTCTGAAACTCGCGCAGAATGAGCGAGATGCTGCCCGCCGAAGCCAGATTGGTGAGAATGTCCAGCTTGAGGAGCTTGAGATGCGTGGGATCGCTGGTGCGCACAAAGAACGACTTGAGATGCGGTTCGAAGATCGCCTTTCGCTTCGTCGACATCGAGGCAATGCAATTGAGAACCACGCTCTGGACCTCCTTATGCGAGCGGAGCAGGCGAATGAGCGCCTTGGCAATCAGCTGAACCTCGTTCTTGGGCGCAACGTGATGGTAGAGTTGCGCCACGGCCATCACAACGGATGCATTTCGCGATTGCAGCAGAGGTTTCGTCTGCCTCAGGAGCAAACGGTGGTCCACATCGATGTGATAGCTGTTGCTCGGCGAACTGGGTGTTCGGCTGCCACCGCCATTGTTGTTGTTGTTGTTGCTATTGCTGTTGTTGTTGTTGGTGCGCGGTTTGTTGGTCTTCTCCTCGTCGCTGCTGCCATCATCGCTGTGGGAGGATTCGTCGTCGTGCGAGGATTCGTCGTAGAAACGTTCGTTCACGGCCGTTTCGCCCAGTCCATCGGCCAGATCCTCCTCGTCCGCATTGGGATCCACGAATTGGGTGCGTGCATAGCGGGTCAACATATTGATGATGATCACCTGACCCCATTCGTCCACGTCCACTAGGAGATTGCACAGCTTGCGATAGTTCTTGTGGATCAAATCCACGCGTTCCGGGCAGACCTACACGATTCAAATTCTTGGGTAATTAAAGGGCACACGATTTTGATTGAGCTGCAACCACCCACCTCATCGAAGGCCATCACTGCCGAGCCCACCACCAAAGTGGTGCGATCCGAGAGCAGCTTCTCAATGACCATCACCAGTTCATCCTTTTGATCCGCGTCCAACGAATACAACTTGGGAATGGCGTGGGCCGCTGTCTTCCGCACATAGGGACTCAGGTCGGCGGCACTATCCCTAATGGCCAGCATCACAATCGGAACGATCATGCTGACCCTGATGGAGGATAGGACCCGCAGAGCCGAGGCGCGGATAAGTTGATTGGGATCCTTGAGGGCCCGTTGAAACGTGGAAATGGAGAGCAGGGCCAAATCCTGTTGCTCCTCAGCATATCGCACTAGATACACATAGACCAACTTCTTGACCTCGATGTTCTTGGACACCACGTTCTTAACGACAGCTGGAAATAGATCACTGGCATCTCGCCCGCGGGCAATCATTCCAATTATCCTTTTCATCGCCTCCAGCTTGAGTCCATCCTTGTTGCTGTCGAGCATTTGCTTAAGATCATCGTGCTTCCGTCCGTCGGACTGGAAGAATGCTGCTCCGCTGGCAGGATCCGCTCCGAATTCCACATCCAATCCCATTTGAGGTCGCTCCACGTACGTGGACATCGCAAACGGATTGCTCGCCGTATTCTGCTGCATTTTTTATAAAAGCGATTCCTCGGATCTGGATGACCACTTGACCTGCTGCTTGCTCTTGTTTCTTTCCCCTTTTTTTTGTGTGTGGGAGTTGGCAGTTTTTGTGGTGTGGCGAGAAAGCGTCCGCTTTGAAACCTTTGATCCGGTTGGATTGATCCTTGGGAGGATCGGTTGGACAGCTCGTCCTGCCACGCCGTCTTCGAATTTCTCAAGGATAAACTACAGGTTTGCCGAAACTTTAGTCAATTTTTGCATTTTAGCTTTCAGCAGTTTCTGTTTTCTAGTGGTGGGCAACTATCGATAGTCGTTTTCAAAATATACCACAAATCACCGATTAAATACTACAAAATCAGTGCAAATTCTACTCTTAAAATTGTTAATTATTCTTATCATTCTTATCAAACTGCATTTTAATTGAATTATAAGTTCTCTCATGCATTTTTTTTATTAAATTCCCCGATTTAATCTCATTTATTGAATAAATTACCTGAAAACCCCAAACAGATGTCAATGCCAGTGTTGCCAATTGGCTTATTTCATTGGGATTTTAGCAACCCGGTCATCTGGTCTCACTGTTTCACGAACAACTCGACAACTACGTGGCTGCTGCTTGTTTTAAGTGATTAAACCAGGCCAAAAGAACCCAGAACAATGATGGAAAGGACGCTCGCCAAGGTACTGCTTGTTCTGGGCAGTTTACTGATCCTCTGCTGCTCCAGCCACGCCTTCATCGTCAGCGTGGACGCCCACAACGAAGAGTGTTTCTTCGAGAATGTCGAAGGCGGCACCAAGTTCGGTATGAAGTACGGTAGAGATATCGGGGGATTTATTTGTTAATTTGTTAATCCATCGACAGGTGTCACCTTCGAGGTGATTGACGGCGGCTTCCTGGACGTGGACATCAAGATCAGCGGTCCCGAGAACCATGTGATGCACGAAAGCGAGAAGGAATCCTCCGGCAAGTACACGTTCGTGGCCCCGGCAAAGGGTACCTACACCGTGTGCTTCAACAACGAGCGCAGCAGCATGACGCCCAAGCTGGTCATGTTCTCCATCGATGTCGGCGAGGCGCCGCAACGTGCCCCCGGAGCTCCCGGCGAGGAGGAGGTGGGCCACACCAAGCTGGAGGACATGATCCGCGAACTGTCCGGCACTCTGACCAGCGTCAAGCACGAGCAGGAGTACATGCATGTGAGTAGACCGTGGGGAATATCCCTTCATTGGGAATCTTTCCCATTAATAAACCAGTATTTCTTGGAACACTCACTAACCCAAAGAAATCTATCCACTTTTTTAGGTGCGCGACAAGATCCATCGCTCGGTGAACGAGAGCACCAACTCGCGAGTGGTGCTGTGGTCCACCTTCGAGGCCCTCGTGCTGGTCCTCATGACAGTGGGACAGGTCTACTACCTGAAGCGGTTCTTTGAGGTCAAGCGCGTCGTGTAATCCGGACCAGAACACCAGGATGAGAGGAGCGAAGAAGCAACACACTGAGATGGGGAGATGTGTTGCAGTCTCAGATTTAAATTAAACGAGTAACATCCTTTTGTAATTAAAATAAAATACCTTGTAAAAAGTAACTAGTGACTGAAGGTATGTCTAAATGTCTTGTTTCCGAATAGGATCTAATAGAAAATCACTGACAAAAAAATCATTTTTTGGAATGGAAACAGGACGAAAATGAATTTTCAGACACACATTATTTGGGGGAGTTGCTGCTTAATATATGTCTGAATTTAATATTATAAATATATTTATGTTTTATTATAAATATACGTGCTGTGGCCGCGAAAAAAAAGAAGAGTTTTTTTTGGAGAAAAAGGGATTTTAAAATATCTTAAGCCTCAGGTTGTTTAAGGCTTACTCGATTTATTTTATAAAAACTTAAAATCATTTTTTTTAAAACAAAGCTTTTCATAGATAATCCAGTTGAAATATGGTATTCTATAAATTGAACCGCTTTTCAGCACTGTAAAGTCATGAAGTTTTTGGTACTTATTCATTGTTATCAATGACGATTCTAACGGCTCGCGATGTTTTGCTAAAATCATTTGTTCACCTGCTCACAATAAGCCGCGTCATGGGTGATACGTGTGGGAAATCTTGTTGGCCAGGAACCAGTGCACTTCCCCCGAAAAGTGATTTTGGCCAACGGCTATTGCAACAATGCCGACAGCTGGAAAAACCCAATGTTGCGGTGGACCTAAATGCATTCAAAGCGTTGTCAAACAAGTTTCCAGCCCAGGTATATATATATTATATAGCTAATTCAACCCGATCTAATCCCTAAAAATCCTGTTAATTTCTGATTTCAGTTTGGTATCGATACCTGTCGGGTGAAGTCTCAACCGGAGGATCGCAGTGAAAAGATTCGAGAGCAGATTGCATCTGCCTATCCGGTGATTCACGAACGAGTACTTCCCCTCTTCATAAATTTTCTGGAGCACAAGCTAAATTTCGGTGGGTACATATACAAATTTGTTTATTAAATATGTACATACTGCGTAACCTTTAGAATCACTACTGGAAATTGTAAATATTTATCCCAAAAAGTAAAAATATCCCGTTCTCAAAATGAACTGAAAATCACATTCTTCAAGAATTAGTTGAGTGACTCAATTTGAAATCGAAAAAAGGATCCTTCTAGAGCCTTGAACCTTCAGTAACCAAACTGCAATCCCAATTCCAGGCAGCGACCAGGAGAAGGCCCTCTACAAGGACATGACAGTGGTGGACCTTGTGCAGCGTCTTCTGGCCAAGAGATGTGTGTGGTTCTTCGGAGGGGGCGACTACTATCACACCATGGATGGGAAAATCGGACACGAAGGCTTCGAGTCGGTGGGCACTCCGTCGGAGGAGCCTCCTTTGAAACTAGCCTCAGTGCTCAGCTACGATGAGATAAAGTTGGCCGCCCTGCTCTACGTGTCCACCCACTCGGAGTTCATCAACGATGGCAGCAGATCAAATGCCGGCAAGGTGACACAAGATAAGAGTAAAATAGAACGCGAGGGTGTAATTATTGGACTGATTGGAGCTCGATTCGAGCGTCCCGATGTCATGGAGTACCAGGACATTATGATAACTCCGACCCAGAACATCCAGGCCAATGGCTACGGGTTGGTTAACTCTTCCAGTGGAAAAACAACTCCAGCCTCGGATTTGCGTAGAGTTTGGAAGGAGTTCTACGAGGAACCCACGGATTTTACATATGAAGATGTGCCAAAAAATAATAATGACCGTTTTGAAAGGGTGCCCGAGGGTTATTTCGATCAGCAGATGATGGGCAAGCGCTATGCCATCAGCTTTGACACCCTGCTATTGGAGGCCCAGGACAGAGCATTCAAGGTCGGCAAGCCCGCCTACATCCACCTGGTTGGCATCGGCTTGGGCGTTTGGAAAGCGTCCGCGCGACAGGAGCAAACCTTCTTCGAATCCTTCGAGAAGCGATTGCAAGTGCTGGGCAAACGACTCAGTCATATTGGGGTGGTGCACTTCTCCTGGTTCCACTTGTCCCGCGTGGGCAGCTTGTACGATGGCGCTCTGTTTCCAGTGGAGAACCATCCCCAGGGCGGCATCAAGATACGCATCTCGGCCAGAAATCCAGCCGACAAACTGGCGGAGGACATGTTGCCCGTGGTGACCTACGCCTGGGATGGAAATGCCCTGCCTGGCAACGAATTTTGGGCGGTAAATGGTCATGAACCTTTTTTAAAATTAAATTAAATCCATTTACATTTCAGAGAATGTTAGTTAGCACCGGAGATCCGGCAGCCGCCTGTTCCACCCTGATTACCGAGCTGCAGAATCCCCACATCAATGTGGACTTCATGAGTGGAGCCAATCTGCACATTGCGTCCGTGGAGCACGGATTGCTCCATCTGGGTGACTACGCCAGAAAGATCGCCTAAAACTATTTGTTGGCATTTTACCAGGCATTTTACTAGGCATTTTACCAAGGATTTTACCAGGCTTTTTACCAGGCATTTTATATAGAAGCCAAATCGAACATGTGCAATGGAAATTATTAAGCTCAAACTACTCATTCTATGTGCACATAAATAAATGTTGTAAACATTTAACTATTTTAAAAATAATAAAAGGAATACGGTTGCAAAAGAATATTTCTTTGTTGAGTTAATAAGAATATGGTCTTTTGTCTTGCTGAGCTGAAAAGTTACTCCCATGGCATTTAATAATCATATAGTATACGCAATCATCGGATCGGCAGCTGTGAAAATAAACCATTATGCTTCTGGGGCCCGCATTCTACCAATTCCATTGAGAGTGAGAAATTGATTGTGTGTGTTAACCATTACTGAGTTCGTTTATTGAAATTGAATAGAATTATTAGCTGTCAAATGACAGAAATGTGATATTATTGTATGTACTGTATATAGATAGCAACAAGTAACACAAGATCCCATTTTTTGTTCGGCTGACGTCGACGTTTAATGGGTCAAACAATGCAATTGCCCTCAACCCTCTCTTACAATCCCAAATCTTAGTGTGTGTTTGTGTATTTTGGTTTTTTGTTTTTTTTTTTGGCATTTTCTTTAGGTTTTAAAAATGATTCGTATTTAAAACATTTTGTTCTGTATACTTCTGAAACAGCGTATATCGAAAACAGTGATATAACATTCACAACAAGTTTTTGCTCAAATATAATATTATTCTTTATCAACAATACCGTTATCTGTACCGGTGCACACGCCCCCGATGAAGAGTGCGGCACTATCTAGCCGCCTCTCCCTCGAATTCCCACTGTTTATCGATTGCACTACGTATGTACAATTTACTATACATATATTATATATATATAATATATATACGATATATAACTAGATATATATATATTATAATTTCGTTACATTGTTTTTTGAAGGTAATTAGTGCGAGAAACAGTACAATAAAATCGAAAAAACAAGCACAAACATGCTCCAAATATGAATTAGTTCAAGGTATTTATGCAAGTAGGTAGGTATCGTTAACGCTTTTAGGTTTAGTTTTTATTTCTAGGTAATATGTAGGTATTTAATGATGGCAAACTGCTTGAGGATCTGAGTGCTCTCCATTAAAAAAAAACCTGACAACTATACAGTCGAACTTTTGCTACTCAAGCTCGCGTTTCTCCAAACCTAAAACTAACTTTTTGTATAACAAATCGTAAACTAGTTTAACATATTTATGTTTATAAGTTTAGTTCGGACTTTCACTTTCAGCCAGAACTTTCATTGATTCAGCTTATTAATTTGTTTACTTGACATCCTGAAAAAAATATATTTTTATATAGAATTCTCCTACTGAAAGTGAAAGTCACAACCTAATAGCTTTCCTTAATGAACACAAAGAAATAGTTTAGAACATGGCTTAATCAATAATTCGCTGTGCGAATCGAAACAAGTATACCTTAAACGTAATAAAAATAATAATATAAAACATGTACATAAATCAAAAATGCCTTAAAGCTTTCTATCAACATTTTTTTGTGAAATAATATCCGAACCCGAGTCTAAAGATGAAAGTGAACGATAAATAGGGGAGAATGGAAGTGCCATTCCCCTGAAAAAATTCGTTAGATGGTCACTTTCTTGATTTTTGGGCTCTCCGATATATTATGTGGAGGGTAGGGGGGGAGGGCAGGAATAATACCAATACCAGATATGGCGTACAAAAGCCAGCTGTATTGTAGCAGTAGTTAATTAAACTCAATTGAGAACAAACAGCTTTTCTCCTCAGAGCGGCCCAACTTGGCTTGAGTCACCCAAGTTCGACTGCATTTCTACATACATATATATGTTTATATATGTATATATATATATATATGCTTTTCTTATATAACATATAACAGAGCGGCGATAACAAGGAATCACTCGTCATGTCCGTTTATTGTACTGCGTGTGTTGCGTTGCGTGTACGTTGCACGTCATTCTTTGGTGGATGGGCGTATGTGTTTTATGGAGGCGCCAGCGCTTGTCCGTCCATCCGCCTCCGTATTTCTATTTTTTCTTCTTTTTTCCCGTAACCCCTAACCATATCGGACCACCCATTCTCCATTCTCCACTTGCTCTCTACTCATCGTAATCGCTGATGAGCAGGCCACGCTTGCCGAATCCCAGCGATGAGACGGCGGCCAGATTGGACGTCGTATCGATGCCCTCGAAGAGATCGCTGGTCGCCGAGCTGTTCAGCGAGTTCAGAGTCACATTGAATGTCGACCGTCCGCTGGCCGTGTGGAATCGCTCCTGGAGCTGCTGCTGCCGCTTCAGGCGATCCAGCTCCTCCCGCAGCGCCTGGTTGCTGGCCCTCAGGCCATCCGCTTCCCGCAGACAGTCACGCAGCCTTTATTGTGGATGGAAACGATATTGAGTTGTTTTGTTTATTTTTAGAGATCGTTGGATCGTATCATTTGTTGACTTTGGGGGAAGAAACCGCGCAGGAAGATTGGGCGCAAATTGCTTGTTCGCGACTTGATTCATAGGCATATTTATTGGAGACCCCCGCTTGAATGTCCCAAGATAATGGCAACAAAAATAAACGTCTCTCGGTTCATTTTTCTGCATAAACAAAATCCCTGTACGAGCTCTTTAAATAATTACGCACACAGGAAATGTGGGCAAGATCAAGTTGAGGGTCTTTTTGTAAACATAGACATCATTTTCGATTGAAGAAAGGATCTTGTTTCAAACTACTTGAATAAAAGGTTTTAATTTATAATGAAACCGTGACAAACTCCAAGTTACTATCGGAATAATGTTTTAAATAGAATCTCTTTTTTGAATCTCTGATTTTCCCTTGGTAAATGGTCTTCTAATGTGGTTTCTTCCCAACCCAAACCCAAACCCAAACCCAAACAGCACTCACGTGTCAATCTCTCCCTGCATGCTCTTGATGTACTCGCACGCCTTGATCAGAATCTGCGACTTGGAGTCGTTCGGCGGCGTCCGTCCGCTGGAGCTGCTGGGATTCCCCTTGGAATTACCACTGCCGCTGCTGGTGGACGCACTGCCACTGCCACTGGTACTCGTACTACCGCTCGTACTGGGACTCGTGCTCGCCTCGCTGAAACTGGAACTGGAGCTCAGGCTGGGCAGCATCTCCTTGAGCTTGAAGATCCAGCTGTTGATCTTGTCGCGTCGCCGGCGTTCCACCTCGTTGTGGGTGGCACGACGCTTATCGTCGCGCTTCTTGTACGCCTCCAGTTTGCTGGTGCTCGTCTGTCCAGCAGCAGCCGATTGATCTGGCTGGGATCGCTGGGCGTGGCAGCCGTACAGGACACTGGTGGTGGTGCTACCCGAGGGAATGACAGCGGGATTCAGCTGGTTCGGCTGACTCACCACTTGCGGCTTGCAGGAAGCCACCGCGGCGGGAATCCGCTTTTCACTTAGCGTATCCAGCTCCAATTTGATGGCCGCCTTCGCTGGCTGCTCGCCAACGAGGCTGCTGGTATCCTTGACCAGGTAGATCTCACAGCCAGTGGGCAGCTGCAAATTTGTTGGCAGCAGCGAATGGACATCCAGTTCGGAGCCGGGCTCCTGTTTGATGGCATAGTACTCTTGCGAATCCTCCGAGTTCTCCTCGCCGCAGATGGTGAGGAATATCTGGGCGCCCTGGCTGTTCATCAGGGCATTGCCAGCGGTGCTGGTGAGGATCAGGCTCTGGTGGCCATTGGCAAAGGAACTGCTGACCAGGGCCTCCGATAAATTCGCTGTGTGATTGGCGACACTGGAAATAAGGTTCGCAGGCGGTGGAGCACTAAGATTAGTCGAGTTTATTGAGGAGCTGGAACCGAGTTCCATTTCCAGACGTGGCCGCTTTCGCACATTCATCGTGGCATCGATGATCCAGCAGTTCCGAACCCGAATCCCAGCCAGAAATCACGTAACTCTGGATCTGCCCCGGATCTCCTCGTTTGGCTCCGATCTGACTTTTGGAGGGTGTGCGGATAGTTGATAAAGGACTCTGGCCGATCTGCAGTCTTATTAACTGCCGACTGCCACGAGGATCTGGTTTGGACTGGACCGCTGCGCCGGATTGTTGTGTGTTCGCACGGCCATTTAACAACACAATTTGTTGTTTTTTATAACAAATTTATTTTCGTTAGTGTGCCCGCCGGTGGGCAGCGAATACATGCCGACAAATACACACGACGGGTGTTGGAAAACGCGAAAGTACCGAATTTGGTATATTTCCTTATCAACAATGTTTACAAAAATTAAAGTTTTTTTTTTTTTATATAAATAATAATAAAATCATACTTATACAAGCAAGAACTTGGTCTCGATTTTTACTTGCTTTTATTTTTTTTAAGTAATTGTGCAAGAGTTATATATATATAAATTACAATTACAAACACTTGATTACGTATACGTAATATCTAGTAGTTAATAGCTCGGCAGCTGGTCACACAGACCGCCAAAATGTCGTTGACTTCGCAATTTGTTGCGAATTTAAAACGCTTTCGCCTGGTGACCTTCGACGTAACGGACACACTGCTCCACCTGCAGGATCCCCTCCAGCAATACCACCAAACTGCTGAGCAGCTCGGGGTCACCGGAGTGGATCGCCGTAAGTTGGAGCAATGTTTTCGCCAACAATTCAAGGCGATGAGCCAGGAACATCCGAACTTTGGACGCTTCTCGCCGGCAATGGACTGGCAACAGTGGTGGCTTCACTTGGTGAACCGAACCTTTTGCTGTGTGGACCAGGGATTGCCGCCTGAGAAGCTCGAGAGGATTGGCCACCGGCTGGTTGCCCTTTTCCGAACAAGTGCCTGCTGGAGCAACGTAGATGGCGCCCAGGAATTGGTGCAGTGCGTCCGAGATGCCGGCAAAAGTGTGGGGATCATCTCCAACTTTGATCCTTCCCTGCCGAAAGTGCTCGATTCGATGGGATTTGCTGGGAAATTCGATTTCATTCTCACCTCCTACGAAGCGGGTGTTATGAAACCAGACCCTGGAATATTTGAAATCCCCTTGAAGAGATTACAGATCCCAGCGAACCAGGCCCTTCACATTGGCAACAAGTTTAATTTGGATTACGAGGGAGCCAGAAATTGCGGCTGGAGCGGATTGCTGGTAGATGGTGGTAGCACTCCCCACTCGTTTGCCACTTTATTCGATCTTCTGGAGGCCCTGAAAACCCGGGAGATCCAATGGTGAACCCCCCACTCAGATACAGACAGATCTTTGACTTAGCTCATGGCTGTAGATATTTATGTAGATTTCTTTATGGTTAAGAAACATAACGGGATTGTATCAATAATTGATAAAACTAGTGTTATAAAACGTGCGTTGGCTTAGTCACAATTCTACAATTCTCTTGTGGGACATTCGAATGGAGGCCATGGACGAACACAAACAAACTAAAGAAAATATAATATATATCCGATCTGAACCCAGACATAACTAGATGATGGGCATATCGAATTCGGCACTTTTCTGAAGACTCATTAAACTTAATACTAATCGAGTTTGTCAAATTGTTAAGCGTATCGAAATTATCCTGCTTAACCTAAGCTAAATTGAAATGTAAATTGGCAAAAGTTGAAGACTAACACAAGTATTTAAAGGCTAAGATATGTAAATAGTAATAACCAAAGAATGTGAACTTTATAATTATTGTAAGCGTTTACAGAATGATTAAGAGTTTCCTTATTCAAAATGTATTTGAATAAAAGGTATTTTCATATTTGAAAATTCTGAAAATTCTCAACACTGAAAGCCTTTGCTCGAACATCCCCTGCCTTAAATGCTAACTCCGATTAAGCTATACCTGAATTCTTATCCAGTATCTTGGTTATTACATATATACAAACGACACTGGCACACAGACCTAAATTCTATATGAACAGATTACAAAAGTATAAGCTAGTTTGTGACACAGTGTTTGGTTGGTTGGTGAGTTGGGAATGGTTTTTTACTATTACTATGTAGCCTTGGTTGCCTTGGCGGGCATTTGTGCCTTGGCCGCCTTCAGTTGCTCCAGATTGAACTGCTTTCGGATCTCGGTGGACACCTGCCGAATGACCGCATCCGTGTTCGCCTTGAGATCCCGCTCCAGCACATCGATATCGACATCTTTGCTCTCCAGCCGCATCTGCATGTCCGAATAGAAGTCGCAAAAGAGCACCGGCTCATCGGATCCATTCGGAGTTCGCGTACTGCAGTACTGACCCCTTCGATGGAGATCATCGTTGTTGGTCTTCGCATCCAAGCCGAGCAATCGTCTCGCTCCCAATGGCAATTGCTGTTGGATCAGGCGCTCATGATTCTGCGAGATGTGATGCTTCAGCTTCTTGAACTCCTTCACCTCGTTCTTCATGTACTTCACGTAGCTGTACATCTTCGAGGTCTTCTTGGTCAGATTCTCCAGGCAACTGATGAAATTGCGCACCTGTTGCGTTCTCGGCAATGTGCTGGGATCCAGACGCTCCGCCTCATCGAAATGCTGCAGCGATCGGTTAAAGTCATGCTTCATGGCCAAGGCCGATGCCAAAACCACATGATTTTCGGCCACATGCGGGGCGTGTTCTACGGCAGCGGTTAAAAATAGGTCCGCGTCGGCTAATCTACCCATTCGGAAGAGAATGGTTCCCAGACTCAGCAGAGGTATATCCTTGAATATCGGCGGAGCCAGCAGGACAGCTATTCTGGCACAGGGCAGAGCTTCACGGGCATTTCCCCGCATTCGCCAGTAATAAGAGCTAAGCGTGTGAAATTTCCACGAACTGGGATGATGCTGCAATCCATCGACGGAGAACTTGCGGGTCAGCTCCACCGTGGCCATTCCGACATTGGTGTCGTGTTCACGCTCCAAAAAGGCAGCGGCCAAAACCTCTGGTCGAAAACTCTCCAGATGATCATAAGTGGCGGGACCCACACTCAATCGATGGTAATCACTGCAGATTGGCTCCAATCCCATGGCAGAGGCACTCTTCTGAATGTGCAGCTGCCGCTGATCCGGCAGGTTGATTCGCTTTAGCTGCTCTGGCGTTATTTTGAGGTAGGACATCCGCTTCTCCAGCATATAGTAATCCATGGCGCACTTGGCCTGCTCCGCCAGATCCTCGCCGAAACGCATGGAGAAGCGCAGGTGCTCGACGATTTGCTCCCTCTTCCGCAGCAAATCCAAGTAGGACCTCTCCACATACTCACTGTAACGAATCTGCTCCAGAAATGCCACCAAATTCTGCGGCTCCCGCATGTGAAAAGGTGAATCCAGTTTGGACACGATCTGCTCCTCGCGAAGAACCCAATGATTGCAGGCCAGCAGCATGTGGAAAATGCCGAGGAACACGGCAAGTGGACACAGGCGCATCTTGGGGGGAGCGGGATCAGGATGAGGATGCGGATTCCGGATCCGCGGAATCCAAGTCCAGAATATAATATTTAGCAAACAAACCCAAACAAATTCGCCGGCGTGTGACCAGATTGGAGAATTGAAAATATGGTAAGATATTTTAAGGTTGTGCAATGTTACCAGTTCCTGTAAAGTTCGTTTAATATATAATTATTTTTAGCTGTAAAAATCAAATCAACCGATTTGGTTCAGGTTTGGTTTTCTTTTCAATATTTTTTGAATAATAATAATATTATAATGGAATAAAAATTAATACAGTTATTTACTTGAAAAGGGTGATAGTGTTTGATATATCTTCAGTGAGGTATTTAAGACCACCTTTGAAACGGTCATACTTATTGTTCATTTCGAAAAAACGTGCGGACTTCTTATTCATATTTTTGGTTGCCTGTTTGGAAATATCCAATCCTAGACGAAATGGGTGGCCAGGGAAAGGCGATCAACAGGAAGCGGAAGTTTGTGGGCCGCAAGGCAGATGATCCGGAGTTCGATTTGGACAAAAAGCAATTCAAGGTGCTCCATTTGAACGCCACCGAAAAGCGGTTGATAATCGTTTTGGAAGGTGCCCAACTGGAGACAGTGAAGGTGAGTTTTTCCAACACATTAACAAAGGAAAACTAGTAGTTATCTGTATGTAATGCCCATCCAAAGGTACACAACACCTTCGAGCTGCTGAATTGCGATGATCATGCGGGTATTATGAGGAAGAACCAAAGGGATCCGGGATCCTGTCGCCCGGATATCACCCATCAGTGTCTGTTGATGCTCTTCGATTCCCCACTGAATCGGGCCGGTCTCCTCCAGGTTTTCGTGCGCACCGAGCACAATGTCCTCATCGAAATCAACCCACAGACTCGTATTCCGAGAACCTTCAAGCGATTTGCGGGATTAATGGTCCAATTGCTGCACAAGTTCCAAATCAGAGCTAATGATTCCTCCCGCCGGCTGATGAGTGTGATCAAGAACCCAATCACCGATCATGTTCCGGTGGGCTGCAAGAAGTACGCCATGAGTTTCTCCGGCAAATTGGTGGCCAACTGCCGGGATTTGGTGCCACATGGCGAGGAAGGTAGTGCCAACTATGATGAACCGGTGGTCATTGTGATCGGTGCCTTTGCCCACGGCGTCCTGAAGACGGACTACACGGAGGAGCTCTTCTCCATTAGCAACTATCCGCTCTCGGCGGCCATCGCGTGCTCCAAAATCTGTTCCGCCTTCGAGGAAGTATGGGGTGTAGTCTAAGCCCTCCGATTGTTTTTGTAGATTAGTCATAGCCTGTAGTTAGTCTTCATTTATCCTTCTTTGTTGATTTCCATTTAATTTGGTAGAATGATAAGTAATCATCCACATTACATTTAAATCTGTAAAAAACACTATGACGATTTGGGGTTTGTTGTTCAATTGTTTGATTTTTACCAAATTTAATGAAGATCTAACAGAGATGTGGATTCTAGAATAAATAAGCCACTTTAAGAAGAAGCGTTTTAATTGATTTGCACAAAGATTAAAAAGGTTTTAAAAGATATCCCCAATATTTCGAACTTGCTTTGCTGAAGCGCATTTGAAAAGAAACAACGCAGGAGCATATATGTCTACTTATATTGCTTCTGGATTATCTCTGCCCAGACTCTGGGTCACCACCCTAGCAACACTCTCGCGTTTATAATAAGTTGTTTATTTTTGTATAGCTTGCAGTTACAAAAGAGGGGCTTAGAAAACTTGAAGAATTTTGAATGTGAGTCCACTGTTTACGTTACATTGGATAATTTACGCTTAACTAATTGCCATTTAGCCCTGTTGGTTTGTTGGTTTCTTGGTTGTTATCCTTTTTTTTCCACGACTGAGAGCTCTGTTTCTGTTTCGGAAGGAAGAGGGAAGGCTGTGGGATGGAGTTTACTTGGCGCCGGGCTTTTTGTTGCCACCGTCGGCCGCCTTCTTCTCCGCCTCCCTCTTGGCGGCCGCCTCCTCGCGCTGCTGCCGGATTAATGCCAATCTGGCCAAATCGGCCTTAGCCTCGGTGGTTTTACCAGCTGCATGGAGTTTCTCGTAACGCTGGCGGGCTTTCTGTTTCTCGATTTGCTCTCGTTCTCGCCGGGATAACTCGGGCTTGGTCGCTCCACCGGAACCTGGACCGTCGTCCAGCTTGATGGCCGATAGTTTCTGGGTTGCCTTCTTGGTCACCCGGTTGGGATTCTCAATCTCAATGAGCGAGGCCACGCCCTTTTTGGCATCGCGGGCTTCCGATTCCGAGTCCTCGTCGGAATCCTCACCGGACTCCGATTCAGAGGAACTGACTGCACCGGCCGCTGATCTTGGCTTTTGTCGATTTGCCGGGGGTTTCCTTGCTGCCGGCGCCTTGGGCTTTCCGGCTGCTGAGGAGCCACTTGCTCCGACTTTATCCTCGCTCTCCGAACCCGAGCCACTGGTCTGATCGCTGTCCTCCTCCGATTCCTGTTGCAGTTCCTCGGGAGATGTGAAGTGGCGACTGCGACCCTTGTGGTTGACAAACTTTCCTCGTGGCATGATGCTGGTGATGATCTCTGAGTGATCCTCCCGTTTTCCTAGATTTTCCCTAATTCCTTCTTGGGTTTTCCTTTACCCACTATCGCCGGCTGGTCCTCGTGGTCTTTTTTTTTTGGGGGGGAAAAAGATAAAATGAGTACGCACATTTATGTAGATTAAAAAAATTAACGCTTTTCGGAGCAACAACTATTTGATCAAGGTTTCAACAAATTTTTGGTTAATATCCTAAATTTCAAGCATATTAATTGTGGGGATTAATTTTATATAATGCAAGTGTAACTATACATGATGTTTTTGCTCCGGAATTTAATAAAGAGTATACCTTAAGTTAATTTTTTTTTGTTGCCTTTTTCCTCAGAATTCATTATCCGGGAAACGCAAAAATACCATAATAGCACTAAAGGGAGGCGTTTTGCAACACTTTTAGCCGTTTGGGCACGTGGTAAGCAGAACGCAACGAAAAACTGCGGTAACACTGTTGTTAAATTCAAATTAGTTGACAATTAAATAAAATACACTTGGCATATTTAATTAACTGTTTATTTTGTCTGATAACGCCAAATGTTAATAAGAATATGTATTCTGTTTCGAAGTCCAATCTTATTATTTCTAATTGGAATATTTTCAAGTGAGAAATTATTTCCAATTTGAATTTACTAAGTGTTGGAAAGCCTGCCAGACCTTAAAATGGTTTAGTCTTTTTGCTTACAGCGCCCTCTGGCGTTTATTTAAACTATGGTTAGCGGTTAACCGTTCAAGTAAAGCGGGATATTTGAAATGCTTACGATTTTACAGCAAGATTTATTATATTTGTTTTTTTATGATTTTTACTTTTTGTTATGATATTGCTTAAAGTTTTAAGACAAGCCTACTGTGTAAGCTGGCTTATTCAAAAATATGAGCTAAAATATACCTAAATCAGATTTAAGTAAATATTGTAATTGTTGTTAAAATGTATTAAGCAAAAATAATGTACAAAAAAAAGTAAAAAAAAAACCAATTATATTCTTAGCTATTTCACATTAAAACAAATTGTTTTTTTTTAATAAATTTAAAAAATATACATTTTTCAAATCTTACTCAGAGTTTGGCTCATTTGTGTGTTTGTAATCTTGTAAAAATCTTTAAGCTGCTTAATTCAAATAAATAAGGCACGCGTGCCAAGCATAACTTATTAAGAGGTTGTAAATTGTAAGTTGATGTTGAATTCGGGCACTTCTTTTTATTGGGTCACCTCGAAAGAGGAAAAATCGATTTTACTTTTACTCAATGATGGTGTTTTTGGAAACGCCATTTTGTTGACCCGCTGCAACTGGGGAACTGCAGAGAATCTCAATACATATGTAGCTAACGAATACAAGATGCACTGGGATTGGCCTGCTGCTGTGATTTGTGGGAAAACCAGTTCTCTGACTTTCCGCTGGGCGTTACAAGTTGCAATTAATAAGCCAGAAACTATTACCAAAAAATTGACAAGTCTGTAAGCCGAAAATCGTTTTGCATATTTGTGTCAGCGCACATTCCTCGATATCATGCATCTCATTAACGGAAACTCTCACATATAACTTATTGATTTGTGCGGCAAAAACAACAAAAAAAAACCGAAAAATAACCAAATATAATATGTTCGAAAATTTAATGCACGAATTAATTATAAATTCCGTGGGTGCTCGCCACGAAAGCGGCAACCAAACAAAAAAAAAAAAAATAATAAATTGAATGGTAAATATACTGCTGTTCTTTTCTGCTCTTTATATTCCCCTTCATTGAGACCCTTTATTTAAATTATTTGTAAATGAAAGTTCTTTATTTATTGCCATTACTCCGGCGAGATGCTGTTATCCGGCATTTGTGCACTTAGAAAGTGCGCCATGCAAATGAGAAGAAATTAGTTAATGGAATTCTAATTGCGTATACGCACTTTCTTGCTGCGTGCGTCAATTTTTATACGATCGAGCAGATCGGACGGGTGTATTTTATATTGCAGGTGGGACAGCTTTCCGACTTGCGTAGGCGTGTGGGTGCGGATGTTTACCCACTGGTGATGGAAGCTATTCAAATACAATACTTGTATATATTTTATGAGAATTATGTATCGCAAAATATTATGTTGAACTGTAGTAGTTGAAGAAGTTTTTCAATCAATTTAAAAATAATATATTAATTTGATTAAAGGTCTCACAGTGTAGCATTTGGACAATGGACAATTCTCCCAGCCACGATCGATACGATCGTGTATATATGTACTATATAGTAGACTGCGGCAGATGTCTCGCCTTAAATGGGTCGATGACAGATTGCGGGCCGTGAGGCTGATTGTGATAAAATGAAGAGTACAAAATCGAAACAAATTCCCACATAATATCGTTTGGTGAACTCGACTACTTCGGATGGCGTTCTGTTGTTCGGTTTGGTTTCATTTGGTTTGGCTTCCTTCACATTTGTCGGAGTGCGTAATCAGCGCCTGATATCAGAACAAGAACAAGGTGTGTTGAGTTGTTACTTCTTACTTGTTACTTGTTACTGCTACTGTGTTGCTGCTGCTGGTGTTGCCCGCTGATGGTGATACTGCTGCTCGGTAACGTGCGTGTCATACAAATAAAGGCTGCTGCAGGCTCTGCCAGATCTACGGTATTCCTCGCAGTTTAATATGCAGACGAGCAACACTTATTTATCTCTCCGGCTTGCCACATCTCTTTTATTCTGGAAATTGATTTCTGGCCATGTGTGGTTTCTGTTTCCTATAGAAATGCTATCGATTTTATAGAATGTTTGGGCATTGAAATTATATTGTTAATGAAAGCCCACGCTTTTTAAAAAACTAAATGATATACCTCCTCATTAAAGAAAAATTGCTTTATCAATTTTTATCAATTTGAAAATATATAATATTTTTAGCTTATGGCAGTTTGAAAACATCTTTTCAGAGAGGGCATTTCAGCTGCGATCTGTCTGACAATTGAAAGGCAGCCCATCAACCCATCTGGGATTCTTCAGCGGACCTGGATCACACCCAACTATTTGGCCCGGGGCTTCTCTTAGCCCTGGAAATTTACGATGCTTCATTAGCATTCACAAAGAGTGGACAATAAATGGCCGCAGCTCAAACGATGTCCCCGTTGGTGGTGTTGTTGTTTTTGTTTTGCCTCTGACTTAGTATAACTGACTTAAGTTAGTCAGCGTTAAGTTAGCTGGCTGGAAACAAAAATATGAAAAAAAAAAAACGCAGGTCAAACTGTGGTTTTTAATTTTTATCGCCTTTTGTTAGCCATTTTAGCTAAATGTCTCTGTTTTCGGGCCTTTCATAAGCTCCAATCCCACCAAAAGCGAATTCGATAAATTAATTTCGTTTTTGAATTAGCATCGTAGAAATTTTAATCCCGCTAAGAAATCTGTTTTTTCCAACGCTCTTTCTTCGCGGTATTTTGTCTGACTTTCCGTCAAAGGTCAATTTCGCTTTCTATTCGCTTCGCAGCAGAAGTGGTTGTGTTCTTTGAGCTCATAATAAAATATTTATAAAATTGAACCTCACAATAAACGATTGAATATAAATAAGTAACACGTTATTTGAATCGATTCTTTTCTGTAAATGAATAGGTAGGAAATAAACACTACTAGTCAACTTTCCCAGTTAGTTAACCTTTTGTAAGAAAGTAACTAGAAATGCCAATCCCAAACTCCCAACACTCTTTGTTCCTTCTTTGTTCTTTGTTTCCCTGTCGGATAAATCATATGTTCAGAGAAAATAAATCTTTAGGCGTAGCCCAATTGTGGAAAGGAATGTGTCGGGTTTAAATTTAGTCAATAGAATTGCGGGTTTATTTTTAAAATGCAAAAATTTATGCGCAGTTCAACTTTCCACTCCCAAAAAGGGTTATGGTTTCTACACAGAAAAAAAAATTACAAGCTTTCTGGTGTCTTATTTAATGAAAAAAAGAAAAATTTGGTAAGTTGCTTAAATAAAATAAAACAATATTTAAAAGAAAATAAATTTGTAATATTATTGATTCAAATATTTGTAATTAACTTGTATTAAAAGATGATATGATATCTTCAACAAAAACCACAAAAAAAGTGGCAAAAATCATAATAAAACATTTAGCTGGGATTTTTTTTTGCTCTGTACAAATTGATCCCAACATGGATGACCCACAAAGGGCCCTTTGGCAGAAACTTTCATCCGCATCGACGCGGGGTTATTAATGATCAAACCAACCATTGACCCCGGCAGAAAGCCAACGCGAAAAAAAACGGGTTCTCGGAAGAAAGCCCAAAGAAGCTGTGCGATGCTGGGGACTGATGAATAATTCAGATGCCTCCGATTCGTAGGAAACCGTTGGTGAACCGACCGAGCTGAGCTGACCGATCGATCGCCCAGAGACCAACCACCTAGACTACCACATCGCGATGCGCGTTTTTGGCAATTAACTGTGGGTCAATAGGTTTCGGCGGCGGCGGCGGCGAGCTAATATAAGCCGGTTGCCGAACGGCGGCTAGCTCAGTTTTGGCCAAGATGAGGAACCAATGTGTCTGGGCCCTGCTGGCTCTCTGGATGTGCCTGCTGGCCACGAGCGCCGCCGGCGAGTCCATGATCGAGGTGGACGAGAACGGGGATGAGTACGAGCTGAAGCGCTTCTACATCCAGGGACGTCAGTTGAGCGGCGATGGCAGCCAGTCGCAGTGCGTGGTGACCAGAAGAAAGCGATCGGGTCGTTCGGCGGGCGCAACTGTTTCGGTTAGCTCACAGCCCTTGAAGGTCGAGAGTTTGCCAGCCAAGGAACACCGCGAAGGAGGAGCCGTCTTGCAGGAGGTGGAGAGTAGCAACAGGCGCTATGTGGCCCTGCAAAATGTGCACTTGCAAAACGATGACGATGATCAGGATGATGATGATGATGATGATGCTGAGGTTGAGGAGCAGCAGCACGGCCTGGCTGAGCAATCTTCAAAGTCGCCGTCAAACTATGTGCCCGCTGCCTTGGCCTTGCCCCTGCAAGGTCAAGCGACCACGGCTGCCCATCTCAACCAGGGAGTGAGTGTGGTGGCCAATGCCGCCAGTCACGCCAATGTGGCCGAAGACGCTGGCATTGTGGTGGTTCAGTCGCATCAGCCACCCAAGGTTAATCCCGACACACACGCCGTCTTTGAGCTGAAGCCCGTTCATCAGTCGAACGTGGATCAGTCGGGTGGTGTTGGCTTCTATCCCTTCGTCCATCCGTGGGAGGTGGTTGAGCAACCCGAGGACGACTACGATGAGGATGACTACGACGAGGAGGAGGACTACGATGATTTCTACTACGGCAACGGCTTCTACGGCGATCAGCCGGGCTTCCATGGTCTTGGTGTTTTCGAGGAGGAGATCATCTCCGAGGATCAGCCCGTCTCGACGGTGGCCAGTTGGGTGACCGGTGAGGATGAGGATGATCACAGCGACCATCGTCCCGTTTTCAACAAGCGACCCAAGAAGAACAGAAAGAATCAGAAGAACCGGAATCAAATCCAGAAGAATCAGAATCAGAAGAACAAGCGGCAGCAGCAGAAGAAACGCAAGCAGCAGGCCCAAGAAAGTCAAGGGCTCTCTACGAAAAGGAAGCAGGAGCAGAAGAAGAAGCAGCAGAAGCAGGATAAAGACCAGAAGAAGAAGCAAGATAAGGATCAGAAGAAGAAGAAGCCAGAGGAGAATCAGAATCAGCAGGAGATGGAGGAAATTACTCCCGTGGATGTGATCAAGAAGCCAGTGGCCATGGATTCTACCGAAGACGCGTCTGCTTCTTCTTCGGCGAGCAGCAACAACTCAGCGTCCTCGAGCAATTCTTCGGACAGCACTTCTACGTCTCAGAAGAACAAGAAGAAGAAAAAGAAGCCTAGCAGCAGCAGTGGAAGTAGCAGTAGCAGTCTCAGCCAGCGAAGAACCAAGAAGAAGAAGAAGCAATCTAGCAGCAGCAGCAGCAGCATTTCTAGCAGCAACAAGCGTCGCCGTCCAAGCAGCAGCAATTCTTCTGGTTCTTCCAGCAGCAGTTCTTCCATCGGAGGCTATCGTCGCCGTCGGCCGCAGCAGCAGCAGCAGTTGCAGCAGCAACGTCGCCGCAAAACGCAGCAGCAGAAGCGTCGCCGCCAGCAGCAGCAACAACAAATGAAGAGACGCCGCCAGCAACAACGCCGTAGATTGCGCAACAAGAATCGTCAATTCTACGGCGATGAGCCCATCATCAATTGCATTTACATCAACAAGGATCCACCGACAACGACGACACCGCGTCCCTTCTGGAACATCCTGGGACGCCAATCGGATGCGAATCCCAGTTCGGAGTCTCCTGTAGCCTCTTCCGAAGAGTCCCAAGTGGATCCTGTGGCCCGAGAGGCTGTTCTTCAGGCTGTTCGCCGCAACTTCGGCGAATTCGGTGGACGAAAGCGCACCAATCTGCGTTTCGTGTCCTAGATGATCGCCGTTCTCTATTTAAGACCTAATTTTTTTTCATAAATTTATTTATTTATTGTACTGCCAATTATGAATTTTTTTTTGGATTGAACAAGATGAAAGTTTTATTTGATAGACCCGTGTCGTCGTGTGGACAACTTATTTGGTTTTGCATTTGGTTTTATTGATTTCTGGCCAAAGGGCGTGGAAGGTAGTAAGGAATCGGTCGCAGGACAGGTCAGAAGAGAAAAGAACAGGTGTGTAACCTGAATCTGTCGTCCGTTTACTACTGTTTGATGCACTGCGAAAAACTGAGCTTATTTTACTAAGAAAGATCGATGCAAAAAGAGATAAGTCAATACTCTTAAACATATATTTGCTAACTGAATTGGAAAATCGAATTTGTGTTGAAATTTAATATGAATATAAACCTTAATTGAGTGTTCAAGAAATTACTTTTAATTCTAGATTTATTTCTCCATGTGTAAAAGCCTCCTCCGCTGGCCCGTTTTGTCCTGGCCAAAGTTGAAATCACCCCCGAGAGAAGAGAAGAAACGAGAATCGAGAAGCGGAGCGCAAGAGCTCCGGATATATGCCTCACTGCACAGGCCAAACAGTTCCGGGGGAAAAGCCCGGAGAAAAGGGTTGCGAACCGAGCCTGTTTTATGTCTTCCGCCACTAGATGGCGCTTTTTAAGCGAATTTCGAATCGGGCCACCTATGACCCCTCGAAAAAAAAACACTGAGAGAACAAACTAAAGCTTAATAAGATACATTTACGTTTCTTTTTAAATTAATACAAGCCATAACAACCATAACAATACATAAGGTACATTTTCTTATTTTTAAACTCAATTACCATATTTGTAGGCAAACAACTAACTTTGAGATGATGTTTTTTTACCAGTGCTTAAATGTGCACACTTTCAGTGACTCAGGGCGATGTTTTGGATCGATATTTCCGTGTCCAGCAGCAGCAGCCAGGCAGCTGTGTTCGTGAACATATACATGGATGGATATGGCTACATATCGTGCAACGTTGGCGCCCAACGAAAGTATCCACAAGATACAAAACCCATACTCGCACAGAAGATTTCCCGCGATGGTCTGACTTCCGCCCACTGGGAAAGTGGAAAGTTGGAGGGTTTCTGTTGTTCATTTCTGTTTTTGTGTTTGCTGGGTAAATAAAAAGCGTGCGCGCACACAGGACTCGGCCAGAAAAGCAGAACAATAACAACAACAACTACAGAAGCAGGGAGAAAAAAAGCAGAGGAGGACTGACGTGTCACGGCAGGCAGCAGGATACAAGGATAGTGGGTGTGGCCGGTAGGTGGACTCGGGTGTCACCACCCCTGGAGCGATTCACCTCGAATGCGAACTCCGGACGAATCAACAGAATGTCCGCTTCTAGCAAGTCATCGTGCGGCAGTTTGGGGATCTGGGGATACTCCGAACGATGGCCATAAAAAGCTGAGGGATGAAAGGGTCTCTAATCTCTCGTACATATGTACTATATACTCAATATATGGGCAGACATGGAAAGTCATAGGCACATATCATGTGCGTAAATGCGATTCTCTTGGGCCCTGCACAATGTTGTAGTACAAGTTAAACTAATACACCCAGAAATGTGCCTTATATTAAGTTGAAACTTTAGTTTAATTTAAGCTAAATAGGTATTTTGAGGGTCCGGTGATAAACAACATTAAAAATATTATTAATTAATTATGTAACTTTGGTTGAATCTTTCTTTTGATTTCTAAAAAACTGGAATCCTTAAAATATACTGCAGTTTATTTTGGTAAATAAAGCTATTAATTTCCTTTTGTTATTTTTTGTGTTCCCGATTTTCATTGCTTTTCTCACGACTCTTTATTTCCCTTTGGAAGGGGAGGTTGTTTTTTCGCCACTTTTGGGGTTGTGTTATTGATATCGTGCGACATTCGCAACTTTATTGCTTGTTTCTAGTTTTTATCATTCAATGCTGAGTCAATAAAACTGACTGGGATTTTCATATGCTTGGATCTTTAAAAAAGAGAACAGCAGATATTTCTTCACCACTGTGTGCTGCCCCCACTGATTTATGGAAACTTTTTGGTCGGTCCGTTCTAGAAATATCTCTGAAGTCATCAAATAAATACAGCCCACAGGAAAAAATGATTGAAGTTTTCAAGAGAAAAAGTTTAAAAAAAAAAACAATAAAAGACCTTTAAGAAAAAAATATTATTTTATATGTTTGACATATTCTCAGATTATTAAATAAACCTATTTTTTTAATTTATTTCTCACTACCCATTGCTTTTTTTGGCTCGGCTTTGGAGACCCCAACTCATTTTAAGGTGTGAGAGTCGCGGGTCGACAACAGATTGCCGAGACAGATGTTTTCGACTGATCCTTTTTACCCTGGCCAAAGGAATCGGGGTGCCGAGAGCTAGTTACGCAATGATTTGTCCGATTGTGGGCGTGCTGGACCCTTTTGGAAGTGCCCATAAAACACTCGGCCCACGAGGGTTGGAGAAAGGTGCGCCTATTTAGTCATAATTGGTTGCCTAATTGGGCCATTGGCACGAGGCGATGATGAAGTGGAGCCAGAGCCAGACAGCCGCTTTTTCAGCTGTCTTTTTCAACTGAGGGATGCTGCGGCTAAGGCGATCGTCAAGTTAATTATAAAGCCCGATCTCAGCTGTCCGTGCACAGGGAAAATTTATATGTTTTATGACATTTAGGAAAAATATTAAAAAATATATTTGGCCAAGTCTGATTGGAATGGGATACTTTTGAAAATGTAATATTTGATAAAAAGTTGATATATATTAAAACTTTGTGCAGATATTTTATTTTATTGAAGAGCCATAAAGTCTGCCTGAAAACACATTTGGACTTTTTCCCCAGTGTTGCCCTAAATTGGAGTTTAAGTTGGATTGTTTTTGAGGCGAGACACGAGCCAAGAAACCGCAAGAGCCAAGAAATGCAGCTTGCATTGGAAGTAAGGACAAAAGAAGTGGCCGGGACCGAGGGATTGGCTGCCAAGAACAGGTACCGCATCATCATCATCGTCCTGATGATCTTCGTCATCGGAAAAAGGCTGCGAAACCGAGAATAGAACGGATCCCGCAGGAGGACAATGACGCTGCTGCTGCTGCTGATGTTGCAGTTGCAGATAGAATTGCCAAAGGGGGAGATCCTTGCACATTGAGCAGAGCGGCGGCACGTGCCCCTCGATTTCGTTTATTTACGAGTTGCGATCATGTGTGTGGCAGGGATGCAGCGCGCGTGCGAGGATCCTCGAGCCCTCCGTTCCTGGATGCACCTGTTTGCCGGCCAGCCAGGCCCATTAAACCCGAGGATTGGGGTTGGGGTGTGTGCCCAGGGAACAGGTTCAACGATCGCTACCTGTGAGTCGCTGCCACACAGCATCAGGATATCGCGGCAGTTGCCAAGGCCAGTTAGCCAAGGCAGTTGCAACTGCAGCGGCAGCATCTTTTTTGGGGCAGGGGAACATGGCAGAGATACAAAGAATCTGCGAGGAGCCCAAGGAGTCCGCAACTTCAAGTAAGAGTAACTTAAAATTTCGAATTATAGTTACACTTTACCTTAAGATAACATTTTGTTAGATGACATACAATTTTGATAACAAAAATCCTATACACCATAATATATGTTGACTTTGTAACTTTTTATATTACCCCTTGGATACAAAATAGATTCATTTAAAAACAAATGTAAGGATTTCCCAAACCCCTGACTTCAGGACTCCTTTGCCCCGTTTTATCGAGAATCCCTGATCCCTTCCACAAACACAACAGCAACCGATGTCATTGTCCCACCGAAAACCATGTAAGTCAATTCGGATCCTGATGGCTGGTCTGAGTCCCCATCCTAGAAGCGAAGGGCCTCGCAACTGACGCTCCAAAGGGCAGGAAAATTAAAGGTACATTTAAGTAGGGCCCGGGAAGAAGGGAAGACATGTGCATGACTGCTTAATCTAATTTAACTGCAATGCCGGGGACGTTTTAATAGGAAAAAAAAGAAGACAAGAGCGAAAAAAAAAAAAATAAAAGCAGCAGAAGTCAACCCCATATACCATATACCATATAGTATACCATACCAACTTGCAACTACTATTGTAACAAAGAAGAGGGCTCGAAGAAAATAAGGAAAAACCTGCGAGAATGCCAAGAGCCAGGACAGTACAAAAGCAATTAAAGAAAAGATGATGATGACGATGATGATGTTGTTGTTGCTGATGATAATGATGATGGAACAGGGAGATATATAGTATAGCAAAGGTAGGGCACACTCAACCGCAGCGCCGGAAGTGCACACAATGAGATAGAGATAGCTAGATACGGTAAGATACTCAGATATCCAGATACTACAGATACTCCAGATGAACAGCGCAAACTCAGGGAAAAAAAAAGAAAAGAAAAAAAAACGAGGGAAGGGCGCCCAAGAAGATCAAGTCCAAAGACGGGGCATCTCGCCGCTGCAGTTGCAGTTGCAGTTGCATTTCGCGCTTGAGAGGGCACGTGCCCCTGCTCACTCGAAGGGCGAACCCACATGACATTTTTTACCTCCTAAACCTGAACCCTTTCCACCTTTCCACCTTTGTTGCTTTTTACTCTCATACAGATGGTGGCCGAGTGCAAGAAGTTCAGGGTCCAGCTGCTGGCTACAGAAGAGATATTCTTCTTTACAAGCTTTTCCGTAATTAATATATTTTTATAGTTTGCGATACCCAAGCATAAACATTTTTTTACAATTTAAACAATCTTCCAAAAGTGTCAAAGAGGATTTGAAAACTTCCCACAACCAAATTGAACTCCTGAACTCCTATCGAAATGGATGTTTTTTGGTGGACATGGCTTCTCATCCTGCCCTAATCAGCTTAAGCAGTCGAATTCAAGAGAGAAGTTCCACAACTGCTCCTCAGCTCCACAATGTAATGGCCAAGTTCATAAGTTGACATTGCACTATCTAGATGGTGTCGAATCCGGAATTATATGTGTGTTATGGCAGCTG